CCGGGGGCCTCGCTGTCCCGGGTGTTGGGACCGGCGGGGCGGGGGAAGGAGCCGGGGCCAAGGGAGATGTGCAGGTCCCCGGGCGGCGAGGGGCTGTGCCCTTCTCCGCTCAGCGGAGAGCTGGGGAGAGGGCACGCACCTTTCCCTCCTTGTGCCATCAACAAAAGGCTTTTTTCCCCTCAAAGGATAAACAAAATGTCCTCTCCCCAGCTCAAAAGCGTGCCAGTGCCCCCGTCAGCCCAGGCAGGGAAGGCCGATCCCGCCTTCCCGGGGGATCCCGGCTCCCGCTGTGCCCGCCGTGCTCAGAGGGGCAGGGGAAGGAATGCAGGATCGGGCCCGCCGTGATGAGTTCCTGCCCCTCTGCGCCCTGCGCTCCTGGAGATGCTTCGCAGCTTTGTTTCTTGCTGCTCTTGGCACTTAAATAATCAAATTCGGATCAGCTCCCCGAGTGAAAGGAGGCAGATCGCCCTGCGTGCTGTGAGCGGCTTGAGCAGGATTGGAAGGGCTGGGGATTTATCTCTGTTTAAGTCAGTCTCCCCCACCTCCGAGCCGCGAGGAGATCGTTTATGGAGTTTAGTAAAGTGTAGTAAGAATTACCGGCCCATTAATTGGTTAGCGTGGCAGGGGAGAAGGCAGAACGGGGAAACGCTGGCTGGGGAGGTGCTTCGGCGCTGCTCAGGTTGGAGCAGGTTCCCGAGCCCGTTTTGCCGGGGATCGAGGGGGACTCTCAGTAGACTAATCCTCGTCCAGGAACGATCTGTTGTTTGACATTGTAGAGTATGCCTTCGAGCACAACGAAGACTGAGAATTATCAGGAATTACCATAGCTACGGAATAGCGGGCAAAACAATAAAGCCTGATTGCTGTCTGGCAGAGATTTGGATCGGGCCGTGTTTGCAGGGGAGAGGGCAAAAAGTTCCCGACCGCCTGGGTCTGGACCCCGGCAAAGGAGACGCTGTCCCTCAATTGCCATCTCTCCGGCCATTGCTTTCAGCTGGGCACCGAGGCCCGGACTCGGCCTCTCGGTTTGCGGGGCGTGGGGTGATTAACGTCAGAGTGCGACTGGAATGGTGGTCGGGATCCCCGGGGAAGAGACGAGAGACGGGGAGAGCAGCTCCTCTCGGCATGCCGGGACGCTCCGGGCCTGGGCTAGAGAAGTGCCGGGCGGGAGATTTTTATCTCTCCCTGGTGCTGGCTACAGGGGAACGGCCGCGGAAAGTGACCTTGGCCGTTTCCCAAAAGTTCCCAGCCCTTCCCGGGGTAGAAGGCTTCCCTCCTTCAGTTCGGGCTGCACCGCTGAGGGTTTCTCCCGGGCATCCCCGGGACGCCCCCGCCCTGTTTGCGCCGGGCCCGTTCCGTTCTCCGCACCGGCTGAGGCGGCCCGGGAGGGCGCAGGTGCAGGGCGCTGCGCGGGGCTGAGCCGGCGGCTCCGGACCCCCCTCCC